TTCACTCTTTTCTTTCTGTAGGTAGAATGGAGAGATAGACATAGACATGGTCAATTCAGACTATGGAAGCAGGCTGGCTTCTTGGGCATGTGACCTGTGAGGTGACACAATGCCTCATGCTCAGAGGAGTCTGTCTCTAAGTTTAGTGTGTTGGTGTCACCAGTTTGAAATTCTGAATGCAAGTATTTTTGTGAACAAGCGTCTCCACCTTTTCACTGTGCACTGAGCTCCACAAATTGGGGCAGTGCTGCTCTGCCCTTGGGTCATTAGCAGTTTTATTAACTGTTAGAGGATCCAAAATGTTGACAAAAAGAGAATGAAATGAAGTGGAATCATCAGAGTGAGGGAATGCCAGGTAAAGAAACAACTAGATCTTTTTGTCTCCTTAGTTTCTGTGTTTACAAATCAGGAAAATATTCTCTGAGAGAAGGGAAAGAAATAGGAAACGGATCTAGGGATATGTGAGAGTTCTTTTTTTTTTTCATCATAAACAACTTTGGCCAGCAAATATGATTCTGTTGCTCAAATTCCAGTGTCAGGACTTCGTGTGGCTCCTTTCCAAATGCGGGCAGTCCTTGGCAGGTGTTTCTACTTGGGATTTTGCTGTTGTCTAGCTCTTGACAAAACCTACCTCTTTCATGACTATGTGCTGGTGTCACTTTCTCTGAGAGTCAACCCTGACCATGGTGTTTTAAATTGCAGTCCACTGTCTCATTTTCCCTCCTGGCACTCCTGATTCTCCTTTTAAGCTAGTCATCATTCAATATGTAAGTCTTGACACATAGTAAGTATTTGAAACCATCAGTTGAATAAAAGCATGTGAGAATGAGTTGATAAAACACCTTTATAATGGTTAAATAAAAATGGCAGAAGAGACAGGCACTCCCATATGGGCCACACTTCAAGACAAAAGAGACATATAGCTACATACTTCCCTAAGGATGGGTATCAGGGATTGATATTCTAAATAGGTATCAATCACCTTGAAATAGCCCAAATGAGCCACTAACCCAACCCTCCAACAGGAAGAGACCCTGTCCCATATTCATACCTGCTTGATAACTGACTGGCTTCCTCATTTGGTGTGGATTTAATCAATTTTACCTGAGTAATGGTGCTTATGATCTCATTGGTTACCCATTGCTTTGTCCCACCTCAGGCCGACCTAAGCAAGTTCCCATGTTCTCCATCACCTCAGACCTGCCTCATCTCATGGTTTTCCTCTATAAAAGTCCCTGGAAGAAACAGCTTCCTGGGGAATACCCGCTTGGGGCCCCCCTCCTGTCCCTCTCTCATATAGGAGCTTTCTTTCCCCCAGTAAATAGATTCTGCTCATAAAAAAAAGAAAAATGGCAGATAGCTTGTTTCCTCTACTCCACGATTGGGCCTACTTCCTATTGTACCCATCTGAGGTCTCCCTTCAGACTGCACTGCTTTTGCAAGTCTATAATCTCCAGACACTTTTAAGATCCAGATTTCTGGTTCAGTGTCTTCATATTAGGAGCAGTATTTTCCTTCATCCCTACAGCATGGAGCTAAGACACTGTTCCTTGTGGAACAGGATGACACGAGTGCCCGGATGTTACTCATCCTAAGGAGGCTTCGCTGCACCCCAGGGAAATCTACCTGGCTCTTTGTTCTTCACCATGGTCTGTGTTCCCTTCTAGAGAGGAACTCTGTGGAGACAACTGCCAGTGCGACATTCAGCCTGTCCTTCATCCTGCTCTTCTCAAAGCTGTGGGGGACACTGCACCATCAGCTTCACCATTATGAAGTCAATTTCCAGTTACTAGTTGAACATGATTCTTATGCTGATAGCTCTCCTTTTGTATGAAAATCAGCTATTTGTTAAGATATGCACTAACTTAAATGTAGCCTGAAGACACTTTCAGTGTGTGAAACACAACATTTAATCAGTGCGAAGCAGCATTGCTTTTGAATTATATTGCATCAGTCTTTGGCTAAAAGGTACTTTGGAAATTAATTTAGTAAAGTATGAGTTGGGTATGAATGAAGTGATGGAGGAAGAACAGGAAAGTAAGTAATTAAGTAGAGTCGGTATTTGGTGCCTGCGTCCTGGAGTGCCTTCTTTAAACAGTTGTTTCTGTGTACTTTCACAATTTAGCCTTCATTGTCTTTAAATTATTGAGAACTCTGACTAATCGAAAATTCAATTTACTGATGTAAGAGATGAATGGCATCATCCCAGTAATTTCGTTTTCAGTTTGAGAGCCTAAGTACCACACTCGGCACTTACTGTACTTCAAAGACATTTGGTTTACAGGAAGACTGTCACTTAGTTCTATAAAATGATAGGCATATGTATCTAGCTTTTCCAAAATTTTTACAGTCTTTGCAGTGACTTTTTAGACACTTGAAACCAGGTGGAATAAATATAACAGTAAAGGTATTTTATTTTATAGCCAGGAATTGGTGGAAAACATTTTATTAAAAAATGCGAACACGTCCTAGAGGATAAAAGCTTTTCTTTTCCAAAATGAAGCCTGTGAGTTGTAGCTTGGCAGACTGGGCGGCTGCCTTCTGAAGCACATGAAGACCATTTCAGTGTAGGACAATAGTTAAAGTGAGAAAACTGTCTTTGAGTCTTAGTATAGGTGAGAGAGTTTGGAGATTTTAAATACTTCCAAAAGTGGGATGATCCTCGCCATCTCCCTGAATACTGCGTCTTTTCATTTTCCCAGGGAGAAAGGAAATAGCTGAGCTGGCTTCCTGGGTAAGCCCAGGGAGGGGAAAGCTGGCATTTCTGAGTGTCCGGCAGGGCAGGGCAGGGCAGGGCAGGGCAGAGAGGGGCTGTGTTGTTTCCATGGACACCAGTGCTCCATTTTTCCTCTAGGTGGTGACAAATATGATCAGATTTAGCCTGATGAGGAGTAGATGAGTGGAAACTTGTCCCCATAAACTTTCTCTAATTTTCCCCTGCAACCTTTATACAAGTATATTACTTCTCAGCTAGAATTACTTAGTGGTTTCCTGTTGGAGGTTTGTTTGATTCTTTCTAAGGCTATGCTTAGGTTAATGGACTAATTTTAAAAGTAGTTTAATTTAAAAAAAAATTTATCAAAAAAGCATATGTTTCAGGAAATTATACCTGTTTGGTTGCTCTTGAGACATGGTAAGCCTTATTCTGTCTTTTTTTTTTTTTTGTCATTTTCAGACAGAGTCTCACTATGCAGTTCGGGCTGGCCTTGAGTATACTTTGTAACCCAGGCTGGTCTTGAATTTGCAACAATCTTCCTGCCTCAGCCTCCTGAGTGCTGGGATTATAGGCATGAGCCACCATACCTGGCTCTGTCTCTTTTTGCATTTGGAGCCTCAGTGGAAATTCCTGGGATACTGGACACAACCATATCTGTGGAGTATGTGGGGCTTCAGTGAGAAGGTTCACTGAAGGCAGTGAGCTTAAAATAGAGGGAGCCTTAATTCAAAAAAGGAAGGGTGGACTTGGTATTCATTGGAGACATGATTTCATTTAGTCAGTTAGGAGACAGAAGCCGTTAGAAGGGGAGCTTGTGACCACGTAACTCACACAGTCTAGGAAAGCAACCTTTAGACAACAGCTGTAATGTGAAAGGCCTACGCCAAAAACAACAGAACCCAGTGGAGTTCCTGTCCCTTCAAAGCAGAACAGCTGAAATGGTGGCTGGGTTTAGCAACAAAACAAAACAATCATCCAGGCCAAGGTTTTCTGAAGAAAGGCAAATAGAATAATTAGAAGTTAGACATTTCAGAAAGTATTGCCTTGTTTTGTTTGGTACGTCTTCCATGGATATGCCAATGAATATAATACTCCACTTGTGAATATTTCAAATGTTGAAATGAAAATAAGAAATGTGAAAAAAAAAGAAGAAAGTATGGCCTTATGGGAAAGGAACGAGATCACAATGGAGTGCTGATTCCTTATGACTGGCAAAGAAAACATTTTCATTTACTGAATCCTTCCTGGGTGGAACTGAGATACTATATCCATTTAATAGAAATCATAATTTAGGATTAGTATTGCTAGTTAGGTTCTGAAAATTTGAAGAACAAGAAAGATATCCTCCTACCTACCCAGATATAGCAACAGTTTTTAAAGAACATTCCTTTATTCCTGACAGCTAACTTCAGCAGCAGAAAATGTAAGAAATTAAGGTATTAATTTCCAAAGTTCTTTCTTAAAACATTAGATCAGAAATTGCAGAGAATGCTAAATGATTGCATCACAGGTTTCCAAGTTCCTGCCAAATACAGCATTTTGTAAAATAAAATAAAATAAAATAAAATAAAATAAAATAAAATAGCTGGGCCATTTAAGAAAAGTAATTCATTTCATGCCTTGATGCTTTCTCAAAATAAATATAAAACATGCATTATTTTCTTTCCCAGCATTAACAAAATATTTTCCAAATCCGTTGCGTGCATGGCATTCCTCCATCAGAATCTTATTCAGTTTATAACTGGTGTGGAAACTGATCTCTGGGAGTTAATCTGATACATGATTTTATTTACTTTTCCTGTTTAGTGCTTCACTTAAATATACCAACATTCACTTGAATTCTGTTAGGCTTTCTGGTACATACTGTGATGCTACACATAAAAAGTTGTAGATTACTTTTATTTCTTTTTCTCCCTTATGCCCTTTAAATAATTTGAACTTTTTGGTGCCTCCCCTGCTTTAAAGTTTCTAAAGTCAGGGATCCATGTTTTGACCTAGTGTCTGTCAAATAGAAATTACATTTTTAAGGTACACAGAAGGTGGATGCTAACCCAACTTTCTTAAAAGCTTTGATTGCTGTTTAGGATAGAGGTATCGTCTATAAAAATCAGGAGCTTTTGCCCTGCGCTCCCCCAGAGGGTCACAAGGGTTAAGAGAAACAGAGCCCTTCACGAAGGCTGACGGTTCTCTTTTTCCTCTTACAGGGGCTCCTGACGGGCAGCTGGCAGCAGCACGGGTTCTCTCAGCAACCACCTTAATGAGTTAGAACTGCGCACGGACTTACTGTGATGGCTTGAAGTCTTCCCTTCACCAGCTCAGCTTCTTCCATTCTAGAAGTCAAGGACAGGCAGACGCTGAATGAAGTCCAAAGCGACCATAAATCAAGGAGCCTCCGTAGGGAGAAGAGCAGGGGTGACAGAAGAGAAGCGGGGAGAAATCCGCTTTGAACCAGGGAGAAATGGAGAAATTTCTGACTTGTCAGGAGCGTTTCTCGGCAGATGCACAGGTCAGGCTAGACAGACACATGTAATGAGGGTGTGCTGGGGAGGCAGACGCTGAGGCTGCTGGCACGAGTTGACTGACAAGTTTGAACGGCAGCAGCACAAGCCCTTTTCCTTCGGGAGCTGCCAGCTCTTTGTTGTGCTGTGCACAGTTAGCGAGGCACATTTTCTTATTAACTGTTCCTTACCCAATGCATTAGTTTCCAGGAGTGCACAAGGCGGCACCATGCTGAGCGCTCAATCAGCCTGCGCTCTTGCCACGAGGACCCTCCCCACTCCGGGGTCTTGGTGGCTCCCTACCAAGCTCCTTTTCCTGAGCTTTAGCTCCAGAGTTCACGAGGAGAAAGCCTCACCGTGCCTGGGCACAAGTGCCAAGCCACTTGTTTGCCCTTCTCCCTCTGTTTGGCTTTAATAATAAGTGAACCTTGCAGAGTGACTTTTGCGTATTGTGGTGTTTGTATCAGGCTGTCCTCCGCTCCCCTGCCTCCCCACGTTCAGCAGTTTCTTGCAAATGTTGGAATCCCGGGTCATGGAGGACACAGAGGTGTTAACGTGACGATATTAAGAAGTTGGCCCAGTACAAGTGTTCACCGTGGTTTAGACTGCAAATGCCACCCCGTGTTGGTGCTCTGCTTGGACATGCAGTTCTGCCTTGGATCTTGTTCAGAAATGACACTCCTGGCTTTCAGGAGGGTGCCCATTCTGACCTCATGGGTTATGCAAGAAAAAGGAGTGAAGCTCTGAAAGTGTGATGAAACATTCTGTAAACACGGGCAGCTCGATGCCATGAGCGTTCTCTTACCCTTTAGAAAAAGGCAGCGAAGCCCAGTGAAACTCAGGTGAAGCACACAGGGTGCTTTGCCATCGACTGTGTCTGTTTTCTTTCCCCTACTTGTTCTTTAATAAAATTTTTCTGTAGTAACCCTAGTTATCACCTAAGTCATTGTTATGTGTTTGGATGCCATGAAGCACCTTCTTATCAGCCTAAGTGAAGGGGTTAAAAGCACAAACCAGGGCGGGGATACAGCTCAGTGGTATGAATGCCTGCCTGGCAAGCACAAGGTCCTGAGTTTGAGTTCCATACAAAAAACAAAAACAAAAAAACTCACCAAAAGCAACAACAACAACAAAACACAAACCAAACATTGAATATGTGGTTGAATTTCCTTTGCATATATATTTATTTTTGAAAGAGTACAAGATGGTAAAAAAACGAAAAAAAACTCATTAGAAATAATGCAGAATTTCACTCAATAAAATAATAGGAATTTAATAGTGGTTGCTGTATTATGCAATGTTATCTTCAAATTGGTTTAGATTACCAGATATAAACATACAAAATTAGTGTAAAAAGTTTAATAAAAAAGAAAAAAGTTGACATTAATAATAGTTTTAGATAATATTTACTGAGCATTTTCTATAGACATATGTGTCTTGTCTTTTCTTCTTACAAGGTGTGGAGCTGTAGGTGCTATCATCTTTATTTTAAAAAGGAAACATCAGGTCCAGGAAGGTAGTTTTCCACATAGCTAATAAGTGGTAAAGCCAGGATTGGGTCCTTCGCTGCCTGACTTTATAACAGTGCTTAGGAAGGCTTGCCCAAGGACAGCCGGTAAGGTCAGGCACAGGTTGAGGGTTAAATCAGTCTTTGTGAGACAGGGTTGGACTCTTCTATTCTCTTCCATCCTCCCAGACGCTTAAGGCTGAGTCAAAACCCTGTGGGGCTCTATTCTAGAGAAACTTAGAAGAACTAGTGAAATAAGATTTCCTTATTTTGTCATCTGGAACTCCTCAAACATGGAGTCCACGAGCAGCATCCGTCACTGTAAGAGGAAACTCACCAGTTTTAAGAGTCTGTGTCATATTTGAGAGTGATTTATTTATCCTTGTTTTTGCATCCTCAGAAAAGACATTTAGGGAGACTAGAGAATAGGAGAATTAATTGGATCAGGGCCGAGTTTGCTTACTAGTAGATAGATAGCTCAACTTAAAAAAAAATATCAAACCTTTACAATTTTTGTTCATCTGCAAGATCGTGGCTGAAGTTAAAGACAAGAAAACATGCTTGATGAATGTCTCCGTCGGAATTGTAAGTCTGCTGCCCAGAACAGATGGGCAGTCATTCAATTATTAATCTGATCTTTCCCTGAAATCAACTTTTCTCTCCAACCTCACTTCTGCTGCAGGAAAACTCAAGGGTTTCCTAGTGTGTATGTGTGTGTGAGGGGACTAGATAAGAGAAACAGGGAGTTGAGGGAGGTGCGGAGCTGTGACAATTGATTGGTATTACCACGTGTTTATCAGTTTGTTTAGCTGGCAGTACTAATAGTTGCCAGTATTTCAAGCATTTGTTATTCATTCATGTTGTACCTATTTATCGAGCACCTGTCAGGCACAATGCTAAGTATTTAGGCTGCATGAATTGACAAAATTTCCACTCTCCTGGGATTTTTATTCTGTTAGGCAATAAAACACAAATTAATAAATGCCCAGAATATGGTAGATGATCAGACATTATGTTTTCCTGAGTCTTCTGAGGTATAAATGTTGTGCGTAGCATTCTAAATGCTGGTTCAAATGTGCAAAACTTCATTAGGACATTATATAATATATGTATACATATAGGACATTATGTATATG